AACAAAAGAAAAAATTTATTTTGTCATATCGTCGATTCCTGTGTGATGTTCGAAAAACAACAAGGCCTGTCCTTGCTTGGCATTATACTGCGTGGCGAATTTGTTTTATCTCGAGGGCCAGAATGGCGGTAACGTCAGTTAAGTAGATTTCAGGTCACCAACCACAATGACGCACACGCCAGCTACGGCTGGTAAACAATTGTATATTTTACTATTCCCGTCCCGGGAAGGTCCACAATCCGTGTAGATTTGATTTTTTTGGTACATTTATAGAAAAAATTCAGTATTATATGCCATACCGCTCGCGGCATATCAAAATCAGCGTTTTTTTTTTTTTTTTTTTTTTTCGCTTGTTCATTCGAAAAAGTTAGCAAATTAACGGGGTAATATAATTAGAAAAATGTAAATTAATACAAAATTAAGCTATTTCGATTTCGGGCTGGTGCACAAATATGCCGCATGCATTTCTTTGCCACCGAAGTTCTTTTGCGTAAAGTTAGTAGTGTTTCCTGCGAGAGTTTTCTAGAGAGCGGTTTAGTAAACAACTTTGCAGTGTTAAAGTAGTATGTAAGAAGACCACGTCGACACTAGTTGATGGGCGAAATATTTTAGACAATAGAGAACATTGTTTATTCGTAACTTGACGTATCGCTGAAGGCCTGCAACAGTCGACGTACCATCATTTTATATGCAAGACAAGCTCATATTCTATTATAGGGTATCCTGTGCCGGCTTTTTGTCGGCTGAAGCTAGACCCATCGTTACATATAAGATGTCGTGCTTGTAATGCAGTTTTGTATCCTTGCTTCATTCAATGTAGCTGACACTAGCTTTTACACTGGATGCATTTGATATTGTTGTATCAACGTCTATTGAGGACAGCACAATTGATACTGTTTTTCTAATAAAGTAGTGATCAAAAGATATCATTCAACGGAATAGAGATAAAAACTGTTTCTGGGATCCTTTCAAAGTCATGACGAGACCTCAAAATCAACTTCGGGTCCTTTAAAGCATTTGATAACCCCGGCCGCTATTTGCGTTTTTGTTGTGTATTTACCTCGTCAATAGCTACAGCGAAGCTGAACAAATTAACATTTGAGAACTGTTCCACCCAATCTCATAAGAGCAAAGTAGGACCTGGTAGGACAGGATAAACGAAAGATTCCTTTTTTGATAAATAAAATGTGACTTTGTCTATACTTTTTATAAAGTCATCGTTCGATCACTTGCGGCAAATTAATAAAGTAAAACTAAAAAAGCTAACCACTCGAGAAAGTACTAATTTTAAACTAGAAGTTTTAAGAACTAATTTTTAAACATTATTTCAAGTTTGAAAATTATCTAATGTAACAAGTACTCGATTAAACATATAAAAATTACCACAACAAGGTAGCCTAGATATTTCTAAAGATAACTAGTTAATATTTAGCCCAATTGATTTCGCGTCACAGAAATTGGACAAATGGTTCATATGCGTATATGTAATCTCAGTAATGATTGCTTTTTTAAAATAAGCCTTAATATATTAATAATATGATAAAGTGAACAATATATATCGAATTAAACAGAAGATCCGCCCTACCAAAACCATCTCGACTTATCGTGATATGTCAAAACGTTTAGCGTTTTTAACATATGTTATTACTTAAAATCTCTATATGTTAATTTTTTCCTTTACAAATGGTGCTACTCAATGTATTATGTAGTATTGTTAATGTTGGCAAACAATTATTATACGCTAAGCTGTTATTGACAACTCCGTAACCAACGGGTTGCCACTTGCTATTTACGAGCCCGATATTCCATTCTTGATGTGACAGCAACCACCATTTTACGGGAGAACAATGAAGATGCAAAAATTCGGAGTGAAGTTCCGTACACATAACCCTTTCTTTCTATATTACTATCTGTTTAACAGTGTCATATTCGAGCATTCCGACTTGCTCATCGGTATCAAAGCATCGTCCCTGTGATAGTTGATAGGGGGAAAAAAATCGTGTTTTTTTTCTATAGACCAGGTACGTCAGTCTAGACCTTGACTCGGCGTTAGGATATCGGAGACACAGCTCTAATTTGCAAGACTCAGCTGGAAGGTTTCGTCAACAAGGGAGAGAAAGACAGTGAAAGAGACATCTGGTGAAAAAATATAGACAGCTCCCATCGCCGAAGAGCGCATTGAAATAGGAGAAAACGAGGGAAATTTTTTTCTCATGTCATCTCAAGCTTTCCACATCTCGCAATGGCGATAGGCTTCGTTCGACGTCCTTCCAACTTGCTTGCTTTGTCGCTCGGTTGGCCCATCGGTGGACAGATACGCCGGTATGACGAAGTGGCGATAATTTGACCCGGTGCCAGCGGCCCCGAGAATTTGCGTTCGTGTATTCTGTGTTGGGGGCGGTGACGGTAGCGGCGGCATCAGCAGCGAGTTGTGTTCGATAAAGGCGCTTACTGATAGCGACATCGACATGGATGAAGCTAGTTTCTCGTTGACGCCTTCTGCGGATGTTCCTGAAGGGAGCCACGTAGCAGGGTCTGGCTGAAAGAAGGAAAATAGTGCAGACGATCAAAGGAGTAAAGGCTGCAAGCCTTGTAGAAGCAGTTAGCGCAAGAGAGAAACCTGAAGAGCAAAACGGTTGTACCCAGAGCTGTAAAGGTCAGGCGATGACGTCACGATAAAATACGAAGAAATATTTTTCTTGTTCTATTCGAACTGGCTGATATAATTCTACTAGATGAGAACGACGTATGAAGTGAAATTTCTGAGCAGCAGGACGAGGCAAATCGGAGAACACGACCTGGGTAAACGTAGCAATGAAGCCGTTGGGGACAGAATTTTGTGGGTTGAAGAATAGCAACAAGCGCAAGCTAAACAAGGCGGGGGATACAGGGCACGACGATAAACACTAGTGGGATCAAAGCTACACAAGACATCGCAGCATAAGCCTACGAAAACAAGGCGCCTAATCTGATAGGGGGGACAGGAAGATTGACTTGAAGAAAAATTGAGAAGAGGCACTTTGACACGAGGGTATAGACAAAATTTGTTGAGCTAGTAATAGTAGTAATAGCATTTAGTACTACAATAAGGGATATTTTAGGATCCGCATCTTAATCGCGATAGAAGTATCGCTCATAACTGCCAATGAAGATCTTGACCCTAATGAAAATAATAACTATATATAGCTACCGTAGAAATGATCCGGCGATTAAGTTTGCTGAACTTACTCTGCTGCTATGATTGTATAGATAACTGATGAGCGAAAAGTTTAAATTTGGCGATTGATGGATAGCTTCTCTGAGCAATACTATTTACTGTCAAGCCCACGAGTAACGCAATAGTAATTCGTTTCGCTGAAAGTATCATTAATATTAGTACGAATATATTACGCATCTGTCCTGTGACATTGATAATATAGGCACGACGATACCGGAAAGACGAACGTAGTTAACTGTCTAGTCTATTTTTCTTATTGTAAAATTGTAGGTCAATTGGCACATAAGTCGCCTTTATGGCTATGCTTATCAACCGTCTTCGGCCTAACAGGCCACTTCTTTTTTTGTTGTTTACTGTTACTCTATCGTTCCTGCCCCTGCTACAGCTGCTATATTGTTGCAGAGTTGCTATATACCATCATTTCTTTTCCCGATCCCCTTTAAAGTCAGAGTCTAGCAGTGAATGTGGCCGCTTCGTGGAACGAAACTGGGGCGCTGTGATGCACAAATAAGTAGGTGAGTCTAGGCAATTCAGACCAGTAGACGACTGATGTCGTGGCTTCGTGTCCTCGACAGGCAACCACTGTCGATTACAATGACTCACAAATAAGCTACTAGTCAAGAAAATATAAGTCGGGCAAATGAAATGCATCTGTCATCCTGTATGTATGCCTTTGTAGCATCAATGCCCCTAACTATCTTCGCTGCGGCGACTGCTACTCGAGAGAAGAACTTCGATAAAAAAAAAAAAAAAAAAAAAGCGAACAGCATGCAGCTGGTTGTTCGTAACAAGATCTTCAAACGGAAGATCCTGCCACGGATCCGAGTAGACTGCATACGCATCGTATCCGTGCAGGAAAGCGGCAACGATTAGGAAAAGGCAGCGGGTTCTACATTACTGGCTTAGGATGAGCAGGGGCAATAACACCGTTTCTGTTGGCCACGATATCATCTGTGCACCGAGCTAATGGGAGCGTAAAATCAGGCGGTTTAGCTATAACGTGTTATTTTCCTCATATGGATAGCAAATGCGTGCCAGCAACCAGACACGCCACAGACAACCTAAATATATACGTTCTAAGGGAAAGGCCTGTGAATAGAACAGTTTTACAGCAGAAGCCGTTCACGCACCTCACGTCTTTGTAAGCTCAAACGTAAGATCTGCGCATAAATATGTGTAATATATTACAGTGTGTTCAGCTCATGAGCATTAATAATGATGATTTATATTATTTTTTTCAAAATGTTCTCTATTAGTATTGTGTAATATAACGATCTTGTGACTTCGCTCAATCGTGTTAATGAGAAATCATAATTTTGAAATGAAAAAACTTCACTTTGAATTGCGAAATATTCCGTTTGGAATTTAAATTTCAAACGTTCAGATAATCGTATACATTTATCTATATGTAAATTGCCACTCCGTCTCACACAAAATGGAAGTTATAGTATTAAAACGTCATTTGACAAGAGCTGCCATTTAACGTGTACCATTAAGTTATTAGGACGTAGTTACCTAAATGTAGCAAAGAGAAAGTAAATGGAGTCAACCTGTAGATAACATGCTCTGCAATGAATCAGCGCTATCAATCAACTAATACTAAAGCAAACCTCAACCGGCCTATGTGAAAACTCTGATAGATAATCCATGAAAGCAGAGAAGTTACTTCCCAGATGAAGACTGGCAAGCGTTAATGCATATAAGTGCTGCACCGGTAGTTGTCTTGATGGCTGCTGTACATTAAGTTAATTGCAATCGATTTATGCATTATTCTTTATCGCAGGGATTGTGCGCACGCATCAGTGCCCCGAAACCGCTGTCTTAACTCACCTTCAGTGAAGTGGAGCATGCATTTGAGTTGACTTCAATGCCCATTCGTAGCAGCCAGATCGATCAATCGGCTAAGCAGTGAACGAATGTGTCATATCCGATACGCACAGAACGTTCGAGGTAAATCGGGAAACATTTTTACGGCTTGTCGTAGTGGCGTTCGTCCATCGGCTATGCGTAATGAAGAGGGCAAATTGTTTCCAGGACAGGATAACAAGTTCATCATGACGGACACAGTAGGTTCGCTTTCGAAATATATATTCTTGATTCGGAATAAAAGATGGCTTTTGAAATCGCGCAGGTCGCATAATTCATGAGAATCTTATACCCAGCCTCATGTCATCGATAATAGACAATTTCTCCCTCGAGACGTAGTGACCCAAATACTTTCCCTTGACCTTAGCCGCTAAAGCAATTTCAAGCATAAACCGTTGGTCGATTCGTTTCTCGAAGGGTATTTTCGTTGTGGCCAGGATGAAATTTTTCATCTATGATCATATCGTAAACTTCAGAGGAATTATAAAGGGATTCTGCATAACCGTAAGCAACGACTGTGTTCAACAAAAGAACAAACGTCTTCTAACAACAAAGGAAACCAATGCGTAAACACTGTTAAATTCACGACGCAGCTTCTACTAATTTGAGTGTCCATTGCAAGCAAGGCGTCCATTGGGAAAACTTGACTGCCTAAATTTTAGGCCATGCTATGCAATTTGTAATTCAACGAACCTTCAGCGAGCCTTGCCGTACCAAAAGCCTATTATTTATGGCCATCATTGAAGCGCTATCCGTTAATTTAGAGAGGAGAAACTGACCTTGACTTACGAACAGTCTAAAAAAACTTTGGTCACAGCAGATAACAATAGCATCGAATAGGCGGGTTCGTGAAGGATTTATCTGTCGGTACACGCGACAAGAGGATAATCTATTTTCATATAAATGCAGCTCATAAACACGCCAGATCAATTTTGCCCTGGTTCAACTGAACACCCTGTACGCGAAGTAAACTTACACAGTGATAAATGTTTAAATTTATATTTCGGAGCAGCAGGCCCGTCGTCAAACTGAGATTAAATTTAGTGTGAGAGTGTACATTAGCGCATAATGACTAACCAGGAGCTATGCTTTATCATCAGTTGATGCGTGTCGGCTCCTGTTGTCGTTACAGATGCCCCGACAGCTGCCCAGTATCGGGGAACAACCGCTGGCGTCGTCCCATCGTTTCTGCGTTGCTCCTCGTGGTATCGCAGTAAATCCTATGACCAACGTTTTGTCTCCGAGGGTCTACGCCGCTGTTCTAAAGCCGCTCCGACGAAGAACTGTATCCTGTCATTCCATTTCATCATCACACTGCTTCCTTGGGGCCTATTTCACAGTCTCCAGTGGCCAGAGCTTAGACCTTAAATCTGTTCCCGTTATCTTTTCTTGCGCGAACAGAAAAACGCTTTTAAGCCGTGAATGAACGTTGTATGTATGCGCACAGCAAGATGTAGTCGTTTTTTCTGTGCCTTATGTCCTTTCCTTCAAAGTGAACAGTAACCATCGTGTGCTCAGTAGAGTTTCTTTCATGTCTACCTGTCCCATGCACATAGTGCGAGCACAAAATGAACGAGCGAATTCAGACATTACGTAAATAAAAAATTTACGAATAGAATACTGAACAACGAAACAGGTACTTACTTCATAACGAGTGCGTATGACAAAGTATAAACACATTTGTAAGAGCAGAGTTTTATTCTCGATTTGTAATAGCCCGCGCTAGAGCGGCTGAGCAGAAGACGATACTAGATTATCAGCCATGTGGGCTATGTCTTTCTCTAGCTACCGATAATTTGATTGAAGAAGAATAAAGACAGAAGGGTAAATATATTGTATTTACTCTTCTGTCTTCTTGCTTCGTACGTTGCTTCCGTATGTGTGGGTGATAGGAGAATATGAAATAAATGAAAAACGTGAATTTCTTTAAATTGGGGCGGCCGAAATCAATTAAAAACCGCTTCCTCGCTCAAGCAATACGCTGGCCCTAAAGTGTTTTTAGCCATTTAATAAGCGACTAATAACGAGATGTGTATATCTGAAAAAATCTAATGATCATATTAGATAACAACAAAGCAGAGGGATATGATCTATATTTTTAGCAGTGCCCTTAAAAGCTTCACCATTATGCATGAGAATCAAATAACTGGTTTATTTGTATAAGAGTCGCGACTAGCAGTCTTCACAACAAATTTAACTTCTATGTCCAACTAATGCGACAAAGTGCTAATTATAAGTTAGTGTTAAAATTCAATAGAGAAACTTAGATTTTGTAGAGATCTTCGGCCATTGATACACATATTGATGTAAGCTATTGAAACTGTGACCTAACCGCAGCAAAATGACAATGCTTAGGTCTTACGAGATGTTTTTATAATATTATTAGAGAAATATGTCGACCTATTAGAAGCCATATGTGTCAGTGATAGGCGAATATCCTTACATTAACTAAAACTTGTTTATTCACTTGTGGAATGTGAGCTAAATATAAAGAAACTTTGTTACGTAGATTAAGAACCATGGGGTACTATCGAAAAACCGTATTCCTTAGCAGGTGGCCGAAGAGGACAGCCTTCAGTTGCCTGCTAAGTCTAAGTCGAAAGGTGTTTCTACCACGCTCGATGCGAGCAGGAAAGGAGAAAACTCCACTTTATTCAGCACCTCTCTACTACACTACCTGCATATCATCCCCCTATATACGCGTTACGAACTGGCATACAAACTTAAATCGCTTTGTCCATTGCATCTATTACAAAAAATCGGATGTTTGCCGTAGTCATGTGTACTGCGCTACGTATGTGTCGGCGCCGTGGAGTGCTCATTCGAAAGCTGGACGCGCAAACAGTGCGCGCCCTTAAGGCCCCAAAACGCAAACAAGAAGACGTTCCACAAGAAGAATGTAGCGATCTTAAGAGGTGGCGGTAGAAGTACGAGGGCAGATGCTACTAGGAGGTAATGGAATGAGACAGGGCTAACGTTGCGACAGACAGGCCGACTAAGCCAGATCAACAACAAAGCTAAGAGTTGAGGAACCCGGACACCGCCGGCCAGGCTACGCCAAGTTCGAGAATAGAGAAGAAAAAAGCAAGTCCTATAAGAGAAAGGGTGCGTTTGAGTTAGTTCGAAATTAACAGTCCGGGAGGAAACAACTACGGTGTCATAAGACAATACTAGCGGCTACGCCAGGGGGAGCCAGTGGCAGAAACTTAGAAGAGCAATAACGGAGACGACGCCTGCAGATGTTGCTGGCGCCTTCGTGACCGCCAAGTTTCTTTTTGCTCCTCTAGCAAACTAAAGAAACCTTTAGCCCATATATAAGAGGTTAACTGGCATGTACAACTGAGACACTCGCAAGCCTCGTTCCTTTTCACAAGGATACGGTCGGCAACAACAGCAGAACAGAACATCGAAGATGGCAAAATTTATCTGTGTTAAGCTCGTTAGTCGGGGCCTGTGCTTTCAGTGTTGGAAATTCGCTAAACTCAAACGACAGTTATTGTACTGGCAGTGGTGCCGGCCATTGCTATAATAATTCACTGCAAATGTCGTTTATGCCCGGTGTGAGAGCTCACGAATACATGCTTGCACACATAACAAATGTCCTAGAATATACGTTAATCGACACCCTGTCAAGCCTGCTGGAATCATTAAAGTGAATAAGAATGGACAGGGCCTTATTGTGTAGCAATTGCCGAGATTATAATATTGTTTTTTCCTATGGTCATCGCGTGAAGTGGCGGAAATCCTATCTTAGAGGGCGTTAAGCTGTATCTAAAACCATCCTTTAATGTATGACCTTTTTTTTTATATTGCTACTGTCATCGACCTTAGCAACAACGCCTTTATACAGCTTCCATCAGTGTCCTCATGAAAGCCTCCTGGCATTGCGCCTGCCGGCGCCGTAACAACGTGGCATGGCGTGTTATTCGCCGTTACGTATTGCAGCGCACGGAAAGGTCTGATCTTCTACAGGGTGCCACCGCCGATCGGAATGCGTCCTAATACGGTCCTTGACATTGTGTCATACCCATTGTACAATTGCATGGTATAATAGCCGCTTCATCAGCGGTCGACGCTGCCCTTTTCGCTTGGCAAATTCCTTTGGAAAGCGGCGATGGTGTTGGGTCGTGTTGACTAGTTTGCTTCACTGATTGGCCTGATGAGCAAAAGTAACTCAGAGTCACCGATCGAGTTAGGAGAACTTGTACGAATCCTTCATATTGAATATAAAAGCGTATATCGTAACTGATGCGAACGGGAGCTAGTGTCCGCATTAGTCAATTATTGTGCAACGACGGCTACAGACTCAGATTTCGAAATCTCTATACAAAATTCGTATAGATATACGGTGTGTCCACTCATTAGATACTTCGAAATCCGCGTGATTACTTCAAGCCAAAAATATTAGTTATATCGTCTATTCCAATTATACCGTAGAGTGTATACGTAATCTGTCCATTTTGCTGGCCATTACATCGAATAACTCCTAGTCAGTCAAAGAGCAAACCTATAACATATCCGAAAACCTTCTAGCAGGAGATTACCCCGACACGTTTGGTATTTATTTTCACAAGTGATATAGCAACGCATGGGGAATGATGTTGATAAGGCGGTAACAGTGGCGCTAACTTGATAAAACTATATGAAAGTGTGCGTTATATAAGGGTTGCCTGATAGCTATTGAAAAAACGTCTACATCTTGAGAAGGCAAGATGAACTAAAAATCTAAGAGTAGATTATAGGACGGAAACATTGATTTGAATAGTAGTTATAATAATCTTTTAAATAACGATAAAACGAAATACTTAACTATGTGCATTTACTACATCTAATTTAAAACATAAAGCGGCACAATTCTGAGGTCTTTCAAAGGTGACACCTCTCTCGTGTCTACACAGTCAGTCCTCATAGTTCGCCCATGAACAGAGCACTCCTGATGATAGTTCGGTTCTTTCAAGCAGTTTGATGATGTTCTACAGGAAACCGCCTTTGACACACCCTTAATATCAATCTAATAGCCATCCTAGCCTACAACGGACGTATGTACCGAGAGACGTGACTTCACACAATTCCATACGCAGTGTTTAAAAATATTCTCATTTAAAGCATTATTTATGCATTTATGCATTTAAAGCAGAAGGTTTTTTTCTTCAGATGTTCTGTACTCAAGAAGAGGCGGCTTAGATTATGGGTAATCTACTTAATTTCTAATCTACCTAAATGGTTGTTTGCGCAGACAAAAGCCAGAGACGCTGTTCTGGACAAGATGGATATATATGTTTGAAGATATAACCAAGCACCTTCAGGAAACAATCGTAGAAAGATATGAATAAGGAAGAAGTGAAATTAGCAGTTCCTCCCCCTTGATGAGGCTTTGAATTTTCAATGTTCCTTTGTCTCTTTTCTCTAACGCGCGTCCAACGTTTGCTTTGGGTTCTATCCATGGTCCAATTAAATAGCGATGTCATGTGGGTCGTATGTACGTACCCAGAGTACCCTTTTAGCGCCCTAAGCTGCTCCGAAACTAAATAGGAATACACAGAGAGGCCTGGCCTGCTTTGCTATTGGAACATCGAAAAAGGTGTTTACCATAGAAGTTTTAACAATAATACAACAATGCGAAATGGGACGAAGCATAGCTGGGAATCATAATAAATATCGGACATTTTAGAAATGCGCGGGGAGAAAATTGCGATAACACCCCTGCCGCTATCTACCGGCAAGACAAGATACATCTGCTTTTAAACGACGACAACGGAATGAGAAGCACTGAGACTCATTGTTTAAACTTCGTTTTTTTTTTGTTTGTTTTTCTAGGGAGTTTTCTAATTGTAAAATAGATCTTCAAAGACCTTTTCTAGATATGCAAACAAAATTAAACAAAAGTTGCTGTTTCTAGCCATATTTTTTAAATAAATTAATAGCCCTTCCTAGCAATATTATTCATTCTACCGTTAGTCGAATTTGCGGTACAAGTGTATGCTTTTTTTTCGAGTACGATTAACCATAAATTGGACCAGTATTACAGCTCTATGTAATAAACCTGTGTCCTTTAATGATAAATGTTTATGTAAATAGTAAAAAAGAGGCTATTACTGCGGCATTGCTCATAATTATGTGCAGAGGTGCTTGAACTTCAAGCGCTCTGCTTGCAGTGTAAATGGAAATATCTTTAAAACCTTTGCAATCTTTAGCTAGAAAGCTTTGCTCTCTTTTGGTTCGTATCTAGAGTACACGGGTATCTTGTTTTGCAGAAGCTGCAGCTGTCTCAAAATGCTATTTTATCTTTTATTTATCCAAAGTCTTTCGAAAATGGTCCGAAACATTCATTTTGGTGACCTGAACTCGCTGTCAGATATTTTGTCAGCTCCATATTATATGTCACCAAGCAATGTCTCCAAGACACAACCTCGGCAGACGTCCGCTTCCAGTTGCTAATAGTTATCGATAATCTGACCCTCTCGAAAGCCAAAGTATTTTACGCACACTTTTGCGCTGGGACGCGAAGGATGCATCCTCCGCTTCTTTCGGCCTTCAACGCCTGCGAAAGCTTTTAATTGTTGATGAACTTTAACAGAGTTCAAATCCTTTGATATACAATAAGTTTAATTGCATTCACTTGAGGGTCCCAAAGCAATGCACATCAATCATTTTACCCGATTACTCTTGTAATACAATGTAATCACATAATCGCGTCAAGTTAATAAAACCATTTACCGTATTGATCTTGCCATATTCCTTATAGTCCTTTTTGCAGACGCCGACGTGCTCGTTCATAGGTCATAGGACATTTTTAGTGCGCTTAAGGCCCTTTACATACACATGCACATTATATAAAAATGTCTACATTCTTTGTCTGTGCCTGTCAGTGACGCACCATTCATACGCCCGTAATTACTTCAATCATCGAGGTTAGTACCTGTATCTATGTTATCAAACGATGGGACTGACACTGCGTTTTTCTTGTGGAAGACTCACTTAAAATGTCTTGCCTGGAAAGCTTTGTCTCCCATCGATGAACATCTTTATGGGATGCAGACTTTGTGGCGAACGGAGGTCGAGTGACACCTTAGGCAGGGCAAGCCATAGGGACTATCAAAACGTAGTCTGGAGCAAGACCGATCACGGGATCAAGTTTTAGATCCGTTTGGATTTTTGGGTTGTGGTGTCGCTGCCTGAAATCGTCGTACTGCCTGGAGTTGTCGTGCGACGAACGCAGAGAACGTGGAATGAAGAATGCTCAGCTGCAAACACGTCAGCATGGCGACTGGCGGTAAAGATTTCGGGGATCGATTTATAAGCAATACCGAGTGCAGTTTTAGGAATCAACGGGTCTGCGCGTATCTCCATCCTCTTCATTCTCTATTCCGACAAGCAGCTAAAGACGACAAGTAGTAGCAGTAGGCCCGTACACTCATGTTCCAATTTTCTCCCTTAGTCAATCCTACAGGCCATCCATAGTATTCCAAAGCAAGCCAATTTAAAGTTACGAACGTCCCTGTTCTTTCGCGACTACCGTCAGTATCTTCCTCGAAACAAAAAAGACCTAACCTAACCTTTCCGCGACATGCGAATAACAACGCTCAGGCTTTATAAGCAAAGTCAGCATACGGAAGTTTCTCATTTATCAAGTAGACTGCTTTCGCATAATTTTGGATGGACGTTTTTATAACAACTAGATAAATTAAAAGTATGAGAGGATAAATGTTATCAATGAGAATCGAACTAAGTAACGTAATTGTTGATATAAGCGAAAAACATTTTTCCGTCATGCGCGGTTGTTGTCCTGATAAGCACGCCGTACCGTGCGTTGACGCGCAAGCCTGAGATGGCTAATCTAAGCATCGGCTTAATCTATGCCATCTCAGACATGGGACGTTCTTAACAAATAGTATTCGAATTGCCAACTAGAGCAAATTTTTTCCACAATGGATTCATCAGTTATTTATGGCTTGTTTATGGGCAATTTGTGGCTTGATTATGGCTTGTTATTTCATGCAGAATACTTGCATGTATCACGCTCTTCCAACTGTCTATATTGTCCGATAGCTTGTTTGTAAATTAAATCCTACTAGTTTAGACTAGTACTGGCTGGCCTAATAATAGGCTTTGATGTTGACCAGACTGACAGATGAGCAGACAATTCCGGTCTGCAAAAAACAGTTAGTTATACGGCTCACCATCCATAACAGGGCGCTGTAAGCCACAGTCATATCAAAATTTAAATGAAATTAATATCCATTGGCTCTCTCTATTCGAGCCGTCTAATTCATATTAGTTTCATTTGGTTATGACATTGAAGGCATTGCACTATGTAAAATTTATTTCGTAAGATTCGTAAATAAGATTTTCATTCATTCGAGATAATAAAGGAAAGCTGAAAGGCTCCTCGGGCAGTGTTAAAATTGTATCTCAATATTTGCTTGGCATATTTCTATTGATTCCTATTCGTCCAACCGGGCCAATTTTGCCTCTTAAGCAAAGGGTGCGTTTCTTCTTTATTTTTGCTTTCTAGGCCCACTTCAGTCTTTTTCAATGAAGCTCGACCTTGTCGAAACTAGCGCATCATCATGGTGAACGATACGACGTTGAACGGCAGAAAAATCGCTGATGGTACAACGACGAAAATCCTGAAGCAAGGAAAGACTGCTTGTCTGACCAGCCGTTGGTGCGACAAAATACCACGAAGTAAAAAGGTGGTTTTAAAAAAGAATTGGGAAGCCTTAAAAAGTGGCACGGGCAACAGTTTTTGATTGCTCCTTGCGATAGCCTCAGTTTTTCTATTAGCATGTCATAGATTTTTTTACTTTACGTTGGCCCAGATTTAGAATGGCCAACTCGCTTCTGGGCCTAGCTTTTAATGGCTGCCTTTTTTAACGACTCAACAACAATCCATTATTGAACTATGTACCACCACACGTTAGAACGGCGGTACCGTTATTCGTCCGATCTGTTTCGTTGTAAGATATCTTGGGCTAGTTGATTACATTCAATTATTACACCTTAGCCAAATATACCCTAACAAATTGAAAATTACCACAGAACTGGACGGACATTGAACGCAAACGAAGCATCTTTATTGGTGCTGATGAGGATATCACTGGGCGTTAGCCTCCTAATCTGCGTTTTCCAAAAGTATCTATCTATGGTTTTTTTTTTTTTATTAGTTCAAAGCGTCTGATTGAGATATCCCCTAAGACACTATGACAATGAATTGCCTTCAGTTAAAGTTTGTCATCGTTAACTGCATTTAATGTTCAGCATAACTAAGTCCTGGCTGCGCCAGAAGCTTCTCTTTGGACGTCACGCGTTTGCTCATGACAGTGATCCCCTAGACGGATCTGTCTAGGTCACCGAACGAATGTAAAACAAAGCATGAATGGGAGACAATTAGGAAAACAGTCCTCAATTGTATTGTTAAGATGGTGGTAAGGTCCAGATCATATATTGATTTATAGAGTTTTTCGATATCTTTGAAAATTACGAGGTCTTCTACATACAATAAAATCGTTTGCCAAAACCTACTGTTAATGTTGCACGCAGTAGGTTTATGGAATATATTATCGTCGTAATGAGATTGAGGACGCTGCTTAGAGCGCTAATGGTAGACGATCGTTACATGAGCGTATATCGGGTGCACACTGTATATCAAGTAAAGGTCAACGTGTATTAATTACTTAGAGTTTCCAATTCTTTTCTGCACCTTTTCGGTAGGACAAGCAGCATATGTGGACAAGCATGAAGTTGACACGACCTCGACTTAGCGCCAAATGATGCTTACATACTACTACCATCACACATATATATATGTTGCACTTATTCACCATAGCCGCTGCCGTTAAAAGAGGGGCGGCGATAGACCGCTTTTGAAGCACATTTTCCTGTTGCGTGTCTTCGCTGCCGAGCGTCCCGCCATTCCCACAGCCATTTTTTTCCACTGTAGAGTGTTGCTCCGTAGAGGGCGAAAAGCGGCTGGCGCTTTTGTTAGCTTAGGATGGCGGACCAACGAAAAAACTATGTATGCGCACGTAGCGGATGTATTCAGGAACAAGTATTTAGAGGAGATTTGGCAGTTTACGAGGTTCCTCCACCTTTCCGTTATTGTTGACTGTTGGAACTGCTCTCATAGGAACAGCGTGAAATCTTAATCGACGCCGTTTATACTGCTAAAGCTCGCAAGACACTAACGCACTAAATGAGTGAAGTGTGGGATGCTGTCAGATCGTTAGAACACGCTCATGTCCATATAACAGGACGATGATTAATTAGGCACGATATCTACTGGGTAGGCTATGTAGAAAATTTACTTTCTTTTTTCCCTATCCAATGTGTTGAAGTGCGTTCTCAGTGTTGAATACATAATGTGAACATGTAGAACGTGTAATGGGTAAGATAATATCTAATTTAGAACAAAGCAATGGCCTTCAATCACTGTAGATTACGAGCGAATTGTTACATCAATAACACCTCACTGTGCTGTTCGTTTGTTTATGCTACCGTTGAGAAATAATTAAACTTCAAAGACTCATTTTCAGCAACAAAGTGCTGGTCTGAGTACTGACCAACTTAAAATGGTCGTCTTGAAAACAATCGGTTAATATTATAATTAGGTTCAGTTTCAACTTTACGCGTAGCAGAAGCCTTGGACGTAATGAAACTTGGGATTTTTGTATCCTTCAAAAAGACTGTGCTGGCAAATGCTTTTACACGTGATTCGTTGAATACAGCTGCGTAAAATTTCGAAATGAAGCCTTTCGTGCTTGATAGAGCAGATTGACATGGCGCAACCCTGATGGATCCTATGCAAAAATTCATCGTCGATCAAATTTTCGTCCTTCGACCGTATGGACTATCATTTGTACTCATATTCTACGTAAGCAGACTTTATGGGAGGGTGCAAGTAGACGCTCCAAACTTCATTATCTCAAGTGACTTTTAAAAGCAAGTATGCAAACGATGGAAGAAGACGTTCGTCCGCAAGATGGTGGTTAAGTTTTCGCACGGCCTGGTAAAAGAGAGAAGTCAGAGAACTCCATGATCGGTTTCTTCTAGTTATCTTCGTTGTCTCGGACGTAAACGAGGTAGGTTGTGAAACGTTCTCTTGAACTGCTGGCAGAAGGGCAGGCAAAGGTGCCTTTCACAAACGCATTGAGCTGCTCCCTTGCCCACTTTAAGTCCGGCTTCCGAAATAATATTCGTGTATGCCTTGCCATTGACTGATTCGGATCAACATTATTGTGTAAAACAACAATGCCTGTAAAAGCCGGAAAATCCGGCTGTGATATACCTATTATGCTGCTAGTTCTGTCTTTTGATAGCTGAGAGTTAGACGTAACTGATGAATAAATAAGCGATATCATGCCGAATATTAGCTAACACACTCGTAATCGTTAGGTATACGTAATCGATAATCTGAGAAAAGCTTTTTTCCATAAATCAAAGGTTGCTAGAGTTCTGCTCTTGATTATTTAAGGACTAATTATAATAATGATAATAATAATAATAATAATAGTAACAATCTATGTAGTTTACTTAGTGTTAACGTCTACACTGGATAGCTAAAGGCAGGTAAAAAGCACAATGGCGTCTTCGAAGTATAAGCAAAAGCAGTAGATTACATCACAGTGGAACTAGTTCTATTTCTATATACTCTATTTATTCTATAAAATATAATAAGTCCGGGAGCTATATACTGGAAGCAGCAGCTATTATTATTATATTGGAAGTTACGAAGTCATCAACTAGCACTAGTCCACAAAGAACAAAGCCGTGGATACGAGTAGGAGAAACATTAAAAAAATATCATCTATATATGCAGTATATTGTATGCATTAGCGAGATACTCATAGATAACATCAATCGGCCTTATCTTCGCTGTGGCATTAAGTGTCTTTATACCACGCTTTCCGCGAGATACGTACCGAACAATACATATCAATAATCGGCTTAGGAAAGATCAAAGGGGAGGAAAATCTCAGACGATAAACGAACTCCGAAACATAACGCCGATTTTTAAGTACCGCTGATCTACACCCACGAGTGCCATTTAAAAGCATATTATCTTCTGATCTCTGAACCCAGTTTCATGGTTTGAGATTTGTTTGAGTGCGTGTGATACACTCTATAAAGTGAAAAAAAAAAAAAGAGAAATTGTGAATTTAATTTTGCTGATTTTTTTTATTTTAATAATAATTTTTAATAATAATAATTTGTGACTCACATGCGTACACTCATTTACGCGCATGTCTTATACTAGAATATGTATATCTTCTTACATATGTTTCCAGCATCTAAGCCGATCCAACAGACGGCATTATAATGTATTGCCTTTGTGATCTCATAGTTAGGTAAACACAAAGAGGTATCCCTTGTCATTTGTCGGGTTAACCATAGGTATCTTAAATGTCTAGATACGAATAACCCACAAAGGAAATATTCACATGCGGAAAAACGAAAAGGTTAAACATTGCAGGCCAATTTGCTCTATTTTTATACAAAAAATGTTTCCGAGCACAAGATACGAACTCCGCAATGTGGTGCGACTGATCTAATCCTATCTTTTCATTTTGCATTCGACAAGCAAAATTAGAAGGACAAAAAGCAAAGCCAGACTTTGATCTTTGTATCGTGATCAGGAAAGGCGCAGTTTACCCGCAGATACCCTGAACAATTTCGAAATATTTAAACTCTTTTCGATCTATTGCGCTTGTAAATTATGCAAGCTGCTTATAAATTCCTCCCGTTCCCGGCCGTTTGGTCTCCTGGTATAGTGTATATTTGGCATAGACCGTTGCGCACCCTAGTTGCCCATTATTAAACGCTGACGTTATGTATATGTCCGGCTGTATGGTCCAGTAGACGTAACGTTCGACCATTTATCAGGGCTATTGGGAATCCGGTAGCTGTTTGCTAGCCCTAATTTGCCTCCGGCAATCGGCTCTTTTGACCAAAATGAGGACTCTAATTTGTTGCAATAACCATACGAGCAATAAAGATTATTTCAACGAACAACAGAGATGAGCGAAACATCGTACGTAGTACAAAGTGACACTGTAAACGAGTTTCAGTTAGAATATGTATGTACATAGTTATTGAGAAGAAGTAGAGGAGTAAGAAGAACGCCCGAAACTTAGATTAGCAGAAATATCATGGGTATATAGGCATTGATTGCTGCCAACGTCTATGTACTAAAATTAAATTCTCCAATACTTGAACATTTTTTAAAAAATATTTTTTTAACTTCAAAATTATACCGCCTTCTCTGATGTACCGTACTTTAAAACTACTATGAATGTATAAAGCTTAAGGCTAGCTTAACTTGGTTGTACATTTCTGTTATAAGGCACAGCGGTTGGTACAGCTATATCCGGGTTTCTAAGCCATATAAAGCATTTTTAAGCACATTCAATAGCCTAATCGCTTTCATCTCTACGGAAAAAAAAGCAGTGATACGTTCAAACGCTTCAACCATGGTTAAACCGCTTGAAGCACCTCAAACAAGTGTGGTATATATATGTAGGTTTAAAAAAGGGTTTTTCTTTCAATTGATTGATAAAATTTTATGTTAGTATTATGGACTTCGGTGTCTTTTACGCGCGTATGCCCATCTAATCCCCGGGAAACACTGGGTAAGCAACTCGTACCAAAGGCTCTTCTGAGCGACTTTTTTTGTTTTAATATTATCGGTAATACAAACGCCTGCCTGTTCTAGGTAGAGTTTGGGGCAATAGAAACATCCGCAGCAGGATTAAATGCAGACAGAAAGCTTGGAAAGCGATCCTCGTGATCCTTTTGCACGCTATCGAGAGATCGGCAGTAATGCTTGGATTGCCTTTTTTTCAGGACCTGCTAGGCTTTACCTTAAAACCTGCTCGACTCATTTTCAGTGAAGGATGTGTCTCACTGAATACTTTACAAATACATTACAGAAAGGGAACATCTTCGGTATTGTCGGAGCCCACGTACCCAGCGCCACACCCACAAACGTCCATGTCTACGCAGCGCGAATCGTTCACACTCAGCGGTTCATATAAGCTTCGGAGTCGCAGCGGTCGCCGCTCTACGGGTCTGTGGGTCCTCCTGGTCGTGGTACCCACCGTTCTACACTTACGCTGCTTTCAGTTTTAGGACAAATGAAATCAGAGATAAGGAAAGAGATCCGAGATAGAGAGAACTGCTTCATTCAACCGGAGCCCGAATAGCAGACTGTTAACACTTGGACCGTGTCGCAGTAAATGAGCAGGCGAATCCGTCACAGTGGCCTTTTCCGCGTTCAACCGCCCTAGCCTCGGAGTTTTCAGAAGCTAGCCCTAACCTCGGAAGCTCCCGTTTGTGGCCGATCCAAAACCTATGTGTAACGATCCATACCCCCCTCCACCTCCTGCGGGGACAAATAATGGCGACGACAGAGGTAGCTTGGCAATTGCGACTCTCGGCAGCAAGGAGCTGCCGAGTCGGCACACGAAGGTCAATTAAGAGAAATATCACCAACCGAAAAACGTAGGGGCGCTAACGACGAAAAGAGGAGATGAGAGAAGGAAACGCCGATAGAAAAGACGAAAATAGCAGTGCGCAAGCGAGACCTGGGCAGAAGTTAGGATACGCACAAGTTAAGAAAAAGAAGTTGGTTTAACATGTCGATTCTCGTGAACCTGCTGTCTATCGTTGCTTACTGTTTGTAAAGATTTCGCCACCGCTGACAATTCTCACCGACTTGATCGTCGTAGACGTTCGCAGAGACGATCAAGCCCGTTGCTCCCTGTTCGTGTCCGACGTTAGCGGAAACACCAGAGGGTATTAAAAGGCGACAAACGACATCGAAAACTTTCACTGCAGCGTTTGTTCATGGGGCGCCTTTGAATTGCCATCGATCGAGATTGCATCGAAACCGAGATCTTTCCTTATATATTGTCAAAATGTAAAGGTTCCCGAATAGAATAGAATTTTCAAATCAAAACAGTGTGAATACAAAGAAACAGACGCGGGAACAAGAAAAACATGCTTGAATTAGTTTCGAAGTACAAATAGCGTTTGTAAATATCTGAATGCAGTATGTTTGCGGTGACTACCAGTGTATTCTGGGACAATAAGTTTTTGCTGCTGTAAAACTGCGTCAAGGGTTTTTATAAGCTCCGTTGTGATCAGCGGTAGCTGAATCAAAATATCCTCTAAACACATTTAAGAAAAAGTCATCCACGATCAGTAGAGTTTGATGCTTATGCACGGTTGATTTGAAAAGGCGGATAAGCACATAAACAAAACATGAACGACAACAACAACAACAACAACAACAACCAAAACAATGAGATCAACCACGACAACAGTAGAGAGCAACAGCAACAACAACAACAACCACAGGGACGACAATGACAGTAACAACGATCATGAACAACAACAACAGCAACAACAATAACAATGACGATGGGAGCAACAACGACAACAATGATGATGACAATAACGCGAACAATGAAAAGAACAACAGCAATAATGACCATGAGAGCAACAATGACGATGACAGTGACAGGAACAACAGCAACAATGACGACAACAACAACAACAACAACAACAACAACAACAATGATAGCACCAACGATAACGGCAACATGAACAACAATCACCTATATGCACAAACATTGATTTAACCAAGAAGCGAATCTATTATGTTATTGTGATGCGCCATTATTAGTTAATTTCCTTAGTGTCCATACGCCTTGGTATCTGGACATCCTGCCCCCATATTCGAAATTTTTAGGAGAACCATGTCTTAGTCGTCGTTGCAATACATCACATACGATTTGCGGACGACGGCGGCTATTATCGCCGTTATATAAGGCTAACATCTATGTCTTCTTGCATCTGCATAGTATCGAATCGATGACAAACACAGCAGCTGCGTTAGCTATTGTACGGTCTCAATATGACAACAGAGACAAGACTTCTTTGTTTACGTATTTAGCCCTCAGCCAAGACATCTAGCTGATGATGATAGCGATCCTGCTAGCTGCCGAGTTCGAAGCTGTCGTCCGTTCCATTTTTTCTTCCTCATTACCATTCTACCGATGGAGAGTCTGAGCGGCGCATAGTAAAAGCAAACGACATAGACGAGAGGTGGGAAAGCGAGGTGCTTGCTCAACAGTGGTTAGCGAATGCAAGATGAGATATGTATCCGGCCCAGAATTGGTCAGCCGAAACAAGCACGGACCCCAGCACAGACGATTACTGCTACTACCATTGGTTTTAAAGGCTGTAAAGGACTACTGGCCATCACAGATGACGAACAACAATTAGCAGCCTACAGCTGTCTTTCGTTACCCAGTTCTAAACCCACTTCCGTCCAGCGAGAAAACTATTACATGGCTCTCTAATAATAATCATAATCGTTATATCTTTAATAAGACCGAGAACATTTAGCGGAGTGGTTGTCGACAAGGCCACAGATGGGCAGCGGACGAAAGCAAACGAGGTCTTTTTTCTACGAGGAACTGCCCTCGGAGGCGAGATAGAGTAGGAAGTAGAGAATAATATCTAGAAGAGAAGTTGACGAGCGGCTCCGCCGCAGCATACGGTACTGCAGGAATGATATTGAACGAATATGACTTGAGCGAGGACGTTTGATTTTGAAGGAAGTACGGTTACGATAGGGTCGCAAGATAAGAAGTGTTGCAGTGCCGGCCGCCAATTTTCGCTCAAATATGCTAGGAACCTGGCAAAACTAGTAGACGCTAAGAATGAGATTTCAAAAAGAAGTTTTGCGGGCAGAGCTACTGGCCGTTATACCGATCAGAGACAAGGCCTGGCCCAGAGACAGCCGCACGTTGCTTGTCGGCAATCTGTCTTGCGGTCTGGAAAAGAGCACCTCTTGCAACCACGTATGACGGCTTAAGCTGGCCGTACCGAAAGGCCAATGGCGGGTCGTATTGATTCAGCGATAAATGGAAGAACCCCAAAAGAGATCCACTACAGTGAAGATGCAGAGGGTCGTTATGGTTCTTTTGCCACTAGGTAAAGCTAAAGGAGAAGTTCAAAATGAAAAACGGGGACATTTCGCTCGTTTGTCATTTAAGTTGATAATCCTGGCAATCACTGTTTGATGATTTGATAGAACGAAAAGGTCAGTTTGTCTGCCGACTAGTGAATGACCAAGGGTAACATGTCAAAAACATTATCCATAAGATACAAACATAGACGTGTGAAGAAAAAAATTTACTTTAGGAAATAAAAATAAATTGAGGTTTTTAAAAGGGTTAACATTTAAATGGATCAACCACATAGAGTGCTGCACACATTTAAGTAGAGTACAATCTGATATAGGTACAAAAAAAAAAAAGTTTAAAGCTCATATCTACAAATCTAATGAAGACAACTATTCGTAATTCACGAAAATCTTTTCTGATTTATTTATTTATTTATTTATTCTGTTTACGATTTATTTAATGATAAAGGTAAGCGTACGTAAACTGTAATACTTTTTAAATTCTCCAAGTTTTTTTTCTAACATTTTAAGTTACAGAGATGATCCTTGTAGTTTACAAACGACGGTACTGTAGCAGTTAAGTATGTGCTGGTACATATATAAAGGAATTATGTCAGTTTTGCTGGTAATGTTTAGCTGTCTTCTTTTTTACTGGTGTTCTGATTTTACATATTCATGTTATTATGAAAATGCGTCATTTGTTATAAAAAAAAAGAAAAGAAAAAACCGCCTGGCCTCATTCGACGATCAGAGGCTTCTACGATCATGGCCTGAAATGCTGTAAACTTTTCTCATATGACTTTATGGACATCGGATAAAATTACAGAGAAAGTTACGACAAGCTCAAAGATGGCCCAAATAACCTCTGCTCGTATAACTTCGAATACGCTATAAAACGATTACTTCTAGTAGTACTACTGCAAAAACAGTCACGATTATGTTAACATGACTATAACACCATCGCATAACGATTATAACAACATATCACGTTAGGATTGCATCTATCAAAAGCAGTATGGCTGGATACTTGCCATTCAAGTTGAATCGGAGCCAATACTGAGAGACGAAATATGCAGATGTGAGGCCATTCATAGGAGATTTGTTGGGGAAAAACAAGTGTTAATACTATTACGCCCTGCGCCATTCGAAGTACCGCTTGCAGCAGACGCGTTGCATGCGTGAGGTACTTGTTACGCCGGCACGTATTTCAAGTATGCGCGTGTTGACGCACACTTGGTCGTATTGGTCGCAGATTGCTTTACGGGGTTTATCATTCTCATGTTGATCCAATGGCCGTTGGCGTGTGTCCACTCAATCGACGTACTACTAGTCGTATACCGGATGCAAAAAAACAGTGCATGCAGCCTATCTAGCCAGTGTATATAACAGTCGTTGTCGCTGTTACAATCGTTAATCTACACCTGCGAGGTCGACGCGTAGGTTGTTTAGGCTCAGCGGTTACGGGTTTCGAAGATCAGGTGGATTTCGTCTCACAATTGACTTGTGGCGCTTAATGCGATGTATCTAGAGAGCTTAAGGCCAACAGAATTGAAATTATATGGCTCCATTACATATATACTTTGCCTATTCTACAACAATAAATCGAATCATACTAGTTTCGACCCTAAATACATAGCACTGGATTTCTCTACCATTATTTGCTACGTTAAGCGAATACTGAGACGCTGCTATCCTAGCAAAAGTAAATAGATACGCATGTAGAATAGGTCTTAGTACCATTACTAATTGTATAGACACCGACGATAATTCTATGTACGTATGAATAGATATGCGTCATGCTTTGCGAACGTGCCTCTGTCAACATCAAAAAACAAAATCTTCCTAAAGTTACTGGTGACGCAAACAAAACACATCTAAGTTATTAGAAAAATGCTGTTTCGGGCTTATTTTGCCGTATTGAAACTGGAACACTGACAACAAGAAACTACTTCATTCCGACAGTGCTAATAGAACAAGCAGCTTCTGCAAATGAAGAAAATTCTAATTTGTAGGTTAGCTAGAACGGTCGGCTGTTACCAAGACGTATGCCGTATGAAGCGGGCGTAAATGAAAATCTACTTGAAGATAAACGATTCAGTTACCTCTGTTCTGTTTAAATGTCAAGTAGGCTCCGTTTGACATTTCGTAAAGGTATTGTTCGTAGCGAAAATGCAATATTTGTGCCTGCCTGCCTGCCTGCCTGCCCACTCATTCGTGGCAATAGATGTAGAGGTGTTCCTGCTACTGGCACCCGAGGTAGTGACTAGAACAAATCGCAACCCTTGACGCTTCTGAGTAACACCAGCTCTACTGGACTCTAAGAAAGCAACATCCTCGCCTATGTACAGGGATCGTCTACAATTGCCGAATTTACTACATGGACCCTAGAAAATATATCCGGCATATGTATTCATTTATGTATATATATATATATTTTTTTTTTTTTTCGAAAAAAATGCGAAACAGATCCGTAGAACATGTAGGCCCAAATGTTTCGACCACGGACCCTATGTGCGTCCAGAGCAGTGTATATAAATTCATCATTTCCGTTGGTACTTTCTGCAAAAGGTTTAAAATCGAGCCTTGCTTCTGGAACAGGTTAGAAGTTGCTTGATAGTAACGCAGTTTTTAGAACGCAGAACCGTTCTGAAAAGGAGGAGAAAAAGGAAACATATATCCCGCTTGCCCGAAAGTGCGTCATATGGTGCAGTGATTCAGAGAACGGTTCGAAAGAAACATCGTGCATGACACACACACTTGCGAACTATATTGGCGTACTACTATCGCCTATATACAAAAATAAGTCTAATTATTTTATATTTTAACAATATATATTAAGTTTGTATTGTAAATAGATCATTCAACAACACATAATTATGGACAATGATCGTGAATCATTTATGCAATCCCTAACCTGGAAATTCACGCTCGGTATAATCAAACTACAAGGAAAAATTTTAGACCGAACGAGAGTTGAACCCTCAGTAACTACCTGCAACTGATCATCTTGAGCGTATCAGCTGCCATATCTAGTATCATGTTATCCAATATCAAGATCTATCAGTTCTCACAAGGTCACAACTAGCGAGATCGTACAAGCACTAGGGCAGCAGCGACGTCGTATATAAAATTATATATTCGAACGATGTCGAAAGGTACTCAAGAATATAGCAATCCGAGGCAGACCACGAGTAAAGCACTACTTGATGTTTAAGATGCGTACGTTGCCATAGGCTGAACGTCCTGAAGCTTCAATACGACTTGCCAAATGTTTACCATATGATGTATTG